CACAAACCAAATAGCTAAATAAGTTATTTAGAACAGGGGGACAATAATAATTTTTTCAGAATCAGCTGTTTTTCAAACGCACAAACCAAACATCCAGACAACTTATCCGGCTCAGCTGCTTATCAGCAGATTATCAGGATAAGCTGTGATTATCAGGATAAGCTGGATAAGCTGTTTATCAGCAGAAACTGGATAAGCTGCAACTGCCCCAAACGGACCCTTAAAAACTCGGTTTTCACATACGCGGCTCCACCGCGAGAAACAAACATGGAGGCGGCGTTTTCAAAACACCGCCGCACCTATAAACTGCCTACCTATAAACTGCCCCAAACGGGCCCTTAGTTCAAGGATCGAGTCATCTTCTTGGTAATTCAACCTATAAACTGCCCCAAACGGGCCCTTAGTTAGTTCAAGGATCGAGTCATCTTCTTGGTAATTCAAAATTCTAAAGTTGAGTTATCACCCTCAGCTCATAAGCTTAAATGTGATGTCATGCCAATTCAATGAACTCTAATATTTGGCATGCAAACATGATGGTTTCGTTAGTTCAAGGATCGAGTCATCTCTTTGCTAATTCAAAGTTCTAAAGTTGAGTTAGCACCCTCTGCTCATAATCTTAATGGGTTATAATGTCATGTCAATTCAATGAACTCTAATAGTCTTGGTGGCAACACACTTAAATGATTCTGTAAGGACAATATTTGAGCCGGCCTTTTCTAGTTTCTACAAGCCCAATATTAATGGATGAAAAATTTCAGCTCAGTAGTCTAAAGCTCAAGCTGTCATGTCAATTTAACAAAGCTTAGTAATCCAACTCGACACATTTATAATAATTTGGAAGGTCTGAGGATCTAATACCTTTTTTGTTAATTATTGGCTCCCCTAGCTCGTATACACAAGGTTTGAAAGTTTCTGTGGTTGAGTCGACGTAAGTATGTTATGTTTTAGCGCACAAAAGAGTTAAACTGAATCCCATACATATTGAAGTCAAAATCAAATTATTCATGTATTGAGTTGACTTCAATTAACAGTTGACATCATAGTTCAGGGTTTAACCTATTTCTAGAATGTATTGTGCTATTGCCTCACAATTTCATTGGAGTTAATTATATTTATTAAAGATAACAAAATGAAAAAGGAACAAAAACTCATATTTAACCCTAAATGCTACCCCCATGCATTGTATGTACCACAACAAAATTTTTGTACCTGCAATAATATTCTTGACTCATCCACTTCTCCCACATCTCTCTTCATCGAGCAATGACTCCACACATAACCAAATTCATAAAACATTAGTTCTTGCAATTTTGTTTACATCGAGCATAACCACGCATAACCAAATTCACCCATATCTTAAGAATGTTATGGAATTACAACGAGCTTCTATTTCTTAGAGATGCCCTTGGCCTTATTTCAAGCTCACACGAGTTATATTCTATATCCCTTTTTTCTTGGTCTTTGTTCTCTCAATGTCACCTCTTTATTTTTTATCATTGATCTTTTTTATGTTTCACTTATTTATATATTTTTTGTTATTTTTTGTCTCTCTTGCTATTAGGCATGCAAAATTGCCCTTACATAGGCTAGGTAGACCTCCAATTGATGGCTTATCGCCATTTAGTTCATGCAACTGTCTTTTCCCCTTTGCTTTGTCATCCCTCAACTCCTTTGTGCTCAAACACAGGAATAATTCTGGTTTTTATGCCCTTAACGACTCCCTCATGCACAAGTGTAAATGAACCATCAAAGAACCATTTATCTTTTGTTTGGTTAAAGAGGAGGTCCCATTCTGTCAATCACTGGTCTCAGGATTTGAAGGCCACAACCCCCTGCAATCTATCTTTGATCTTGATATAGGGAGTGTTTTTTTTGCTAGCTACTATGCATGAGCGAAAGTTTGGCAGTCACTAATTTCTATGTTATGATTGTCATCATAGCTGTTGATCAGTGCAAAGTTCATTGATACATTTGATCTTTGTGACTAGTCAATGGAGAAGAAATGTGTTTCACCGGTTTTCCCTGACAAATTGTGAGTATGCAAGAAATTAGGAACATAAAAAAATTTTAAAAAAATGAAATTACTAAAATAACCTAGGTGAACAATTCATTGGTTTGGATGAACAGGAAGCCTCCTTTTGTCCATATCTGGTCCGATCGGGTTCAAAGACCACCCTATGCTAGTCTTTGGTTTGACACAGGGTTTGTATTCTCTCCATTGATCTTTTGGTTTTGATATGGGAGTGATGTCTTCCTCAGTATGATTGTGTTGGATTGAAACTCAATGGTACATTGAATTGCACGTGATTTGTGTTACTCACCGTAATAAAATAAAAATCCTCACCATCAATGGAGAAGTAATTGATGATGAAAATGTACAAGTTTTGCTCTCCGATAGTGATGGAAAAGATGAGATGAAAAAAACTTTGCACATAATTTGGAGAGATTCATCACACAACCTGGATCTAGAAAGCATCGAATTGCCCGCAAATAATATCATTCAATATTCACAGTTGTAAATATTCATTTTGGATCCTTATTTTATAGAAATTGATTAAAAATTCATACATTTAAATGAAATTTAATAATGCCCCATCCAACAAACTTTAAATTTAAACATATTCTAAAATAAAAGTCATAACAGTTAATAAAGTACTTTAAATTAAAGAAATTACCATTAACATAGATAGTCATTAAAAGACTTGAAAGTATGGTTGGTTCATACCTTTTTTTTGGCTTGATTAGACTTCTAAGAATGACCTTATTGCCGCTTGTGCTTTTGTTGACTATTTTTATCTCTGCTACATCTAGCTTTATTGTTTATTTGAGGATGGATGATCTTTTTTCTTATCTTTTATTTAATGAAAAAATTCAAAATGGAGAACATGCAGAAAAGCACATCGTCCTTTTCTTCGAATGTAAGTTGACTCCAAGTCTCTCTCTCTCTCTCTTTATATGCACACACAAGAAAAGAGAAATAGATTATTATTTTTCCTATCATACAGAGTATGATCATTTTTCTTATGAATTATTTTTGTGCTACAGGTTTGTGTAATATTCAAGCTTAAGATGCTCCATTAATCTTGGAATAGGACATGAAATTTACTTGGGGTGCTAGTTTGATCATTTTTTATATTTATTTAATCATTCTCAAGCATGTGAAAAAAAGTGGATGATTAGCGACATAAAACCCACTCATAATTCTTATCAATTCAAATTATGAACTAACTGTAAGCATGATCAACAAATATCCCATCATTTAATTCATACTATTTAGATATGAGCACCACACATTGAAACTGATAGCTATCCTTTTATGCAATTGAAGTCATTGTTTGAGAGAATTTTGATACATATAATTGGATGACCAAATGATCTTGAAATCGTTTGGAATCTTGCATCATACTAGTTTCTATGATGTATCAATCACATCCCTTACTACTTGTTTGGTATCTTTTTTTTTTTTGGGTTTTTTTTTATAATGGTTTAGAAAATAAGTTTGTTTTTGGGTATTTTTTTTTATAATGGTTTAGAAAATAAGTTTGTTTAGTGCATTTTTAAAATTTTTTATTTATTTATTTTTAAAAATAAAATAACTTATTTTTAAAAACATTTAGAGCAACATTTAGATGTTTTTAAAAACAACCATGTCCACCAATTTTTTTTTAATTACATATGAAAACAACAACAAAAACAAATCCTTTATCCCACTTAGTGGGGTCGGCTGCATGAATCCTTTTTCTCCAGTGCGTCCTATTTAGTGTCATATTTTTATTTAATTCTAATATTTAATTCGTGTCATATTTTTATTTAATTCTAATATTTCAAGATCATTTTTTATCCAATATATGCCTGAGACTTCCTAGGTCTACCTCTAATTTTCTTAACATAAGTCGAATCTAAAACATCTACTCTTCTAATCGGATCATCAGATGCTCAACTTTTAATGTGAGCAAATCATCTACGACGACTCTCTCCGTCATTGGAGCTACACCAACCCTATCACGGATATAATCATTTTGCATTTTGTCTGTAAGTGTAAGGCCACTCATCTACCTAATCATTCTCATTTCGCCAACACTTAACTTAGTTTTATTACAAATGAAAACATAAATAAAAAAAAATAGAAATAAAAATGAAAAACAAAAGTCATCCTAAACTGCTCGTTAGTATTTTATCCTATTATTTGAGTTATGCTGTATTCTTGCTGCAGAGTTTCGTGTTGGTGTTTATGGTGATTGTTGCAGTTAGTAGTTTTTTTTGCACAACAGACAAACTTTCTGGGGTTTGTTTTGTTTCATGATTTTTTGTTTCACTTGCCGAACAAAGAATGGATTATTGAACTTGAGTCTTGCAAATGCTGTCAGATGGCCATCGACTCTCTAATGTTTTTCAGACATTTTTACCTGATGCTTAGCTCCCTTTAAGGCTATATTTGCTCATTTTGTGTGCTTCCCAGAATAATATCGGAACCCTGATTTTAGGCTGGAAGAAGTTATTGAGATGGCTATTGGTCCTTCAATTTTTGTTGACTAGCAGATGTTTTGACCTGATGCTTACTTCCTTAAAAAGTGAAATATACCTTTCCATACATAGTTTTATGACAACAAATTGTTATAAGTGTAAATATCAAATTTTGCATGTTAGATATGTAAATATACTAGAATTGTGTGGTTTGAATATAATTTTCTCTTAATTCTTGAGCCATAGTCCCAAAGATGGGTGCACTCGCATGATAAACTGAAACAATTGTAGCTCATATCTTTATTTTTTTCCTGCATTTCAAATTTATATTTTGCTCATTGTATTTTAGCAATAAATTAAAGAATTAGTTACGCGTTTTCTAACAATTTATTATCTAATGATGGATAAGAATCTGATTAAAAACTATTTTTACGTGATTTCAAATGATTCATCACTGCTTCAACATCTTTTTTTTTTTTTTGTAAATTTTTATCCTGATTCTAATTCTAATACTCTTTTTTTAAACTTTATTGCAGATATACGATATCTTTCAGCTTCTTCCTCCTAAAATCCAGGTTGGAGTTTTCTCTGCCACCATGCCACCAGAAGCCCTTGAGATCACCCGCAAATTCATGAATAAACCTGTCAGGATTCTTGTGAAAAGAGATGAACTCACCCTGGAAGGTATCAAACAGTTTTATGTCAATATTGGCAAGGAGGAGTGGAAACTGGAGACCCTCTGCGATCTCTATGAAACCCTAGCCATCACCCAGAGTGTGATCTTTGTGAACACCCGTCGCAAGGTTGATTGGCTCACTGACAAACTAAGGAGCAGCGATCACACAGTCTCAGCCACACACGGAGACATGGATCAGAATTCTCGTGATATCATCATGCGTGAATTCCGATCCGGTTCCTCTCGAGTTCTCATAACAACCGATCTTCTCGCTCGTGGCATCGATGTGCAGCAGGTTTCCCTTGTGATAAACTACGATCTGCCGACCCAGCCGGAGAATTATCTCCATCGCATCGGACGAAGCGGACGGTTTGGGAGGAAGGGCGTTGCAATAAACTTCGTCACCCAGGACGATGAGAGGATGCTTTATGATATCCAGAAGTTCTACAATGTGGTGATAGAAGAACTGCCATCAAATGTTGCAGATCTCATATAAATTGGAGGTGCAACCTTATTTGTTTTATGATTTATATGTTGTTCTCTGCAAATTTTAATATTTGTTTGATTGAGCAAGTGAGGATTGGGGTCATTGGTCTTAGTTTTGGTTAGAGCAAAATATTATTGTACCTGGTTTTTTGGCCTTTACATTTTGCAATTATTTCTAGGTGTTGCTGCTTTTGTCATGCTGTCTGACACAGTTATTATGGATCAGTTTATGTTGTTTAAAACCTTTTTTTTGTTTATCCACACTTCTATGATCATCTGGCAGGTTTTTACTGTCTTTAACTTTGATATTGATTCTGTATTTTAAGCCTTTTTTTTAATTGCTGTATAGCTCTCAAATTGATTCTATATTGGGATAATTAAATAACTAAGATTTGAACTTTTACTTACAAAATTGGAACCCAGGTGATTTTCTTGCATCACCACATGATGCATTTATGCTTGCTATGATAAAAAAATTCTCAAAAATTGAGAATTTGATAGAAATGAAAAATATGAGTTGAGATTCTATCGTGAAATTTGATGTTTGTATGAAAATTTGAAAAATTAATGCTAGATTTATAAATAACAATGTTTGGAGTGTTATGTATGTAATTGACCCTTCTATATTTTCTTTGATTGACATGATGTCTTTTAATGCTTTAGATGGAATCTAGTAGCATCCTATTAATTGAATTAGTCTTGGATTTAAATTTTAAATTAAGTCAAATGCCAACAAATAAAAAGATTAAATTCATGCTTTATTAAATGAAATTTAATTGTGTTCAATCTCTAAGTCTTGTGTTCCGTTTCCTTTACAATATAAATCTGGATTTAATAAATTAGATTGTGAGACGGATTGAGAATTTTATTCAGTTGTTGTGCGCGAGGTTTGTCTCCATCGAAGTAGTGATTGGATTTGATAAATTCTATTTAATATAAATATATATTGCACCCAAACATGGCCTTAGTTAGTTTCATGAGAAAAATAAGTTGGCCTCCAAAGGCATACTATAGGTTTAAGGTTTGCAAGTAACAAGTATTTTACTAAGGATATTTGGATAAGTATGGACACCTTAAGGGGGATTTTTTCTTATTATGCTTTCAAGCTTCAAAAAATTGGACTAAAGTTTCTTATAGTAGAAAGTTTGGAGCTTCTCATTTTATAATGCTCTCTTTTCACTAGAGATCTATTGTCATTCATGGATATATAATATAGAATTTAACATCATCAATGTGTAATGAGCATGAATCTTTCAAAAATTAAAGAGGACTAGTAAAACATTATAATGAAAGTAGCCCATAGAGTTAATAGAGATCTCTATCAACATGGAGAACTAGGAATTAGTACTAAGATAGTCTTTGAGAAGATAGGGTCAAGAAGATGTTCCAAGGAATAATAGAGTAGATTTCAAGAATTACTCCCATGAGGCAATTATTAAAGTTATGCAATTAATCATAAAGAAGAGGAAATTTTAGTATAAGAGCTCTGCCCTCTAGTTCAATGGTTGATAAAACTTACTAATCAATTTTGAAGAAAGATTCATCTCCCATGCCTCGTCGAGCAAAAAGGTGTCTATTGAGAATGTCTTCTCTTTGAAAACTTTAGAGGTGAAGCTTTATGTTGAGTTTAAGATCCCCCTTGATTTATATATAGGAAGAATTTACCCACTAGATCATGTCACATATTTGGAGTTAGTTGTTTCATTATTGAATATTAAGATATTGTAAAAATATAGTTTATTTCTTACAATCATTAAAGTCAACATTATGATTTCTCGCCTCTCACTCACAATAAGATTATTGTTCGTCAAGTTTAATGGAATGTTTTTAGCAAATTCACTAATGAATAGTAACCTTTTTAAGAATTCACAATCCTTATGGAAGATAAAGCAAAAGCTAGATTAATCACTTAAATAAAAATACCGAAAAGAGATGTTGATGGTGGAAGAGTTACTACAATTACTAACATCTCAAATATCTAATTTTGGAACTCATAAAAGTGAGAAAGTTGATGGAATATTTCATATTAGTTCTAAGTGGAAGTCCTGATGAGGAACTTTTGGAGGAGTCAAGGAGGTAACCCATCCCCGCACAAGCTATTCACATAGTTGGAGAGTATCCAACATTCTAGATTGATCTAAAGAAGCTTAATGTAGGCTTAGAATTTTCTATGGAAAATCTTGGAAATGGTATAAAGGTTTATCAATTATAGTTTTGGAGTTGGTGGATTTATGCCAAGTGAATTCGGTCGGTGAAAGAGAGGCAAATCCAAAATTAGGTTAGATTTAACCAAGAAAGGTTAATTTTGGATTTTGACTTAATTAATTTAAACTTTTCAAATGATATGGCTTGATGATTAAGGACAAAGGATAAGGGATTTCATTAGTTGATTTTTGAAGCACTTCATAAATTTTCATGAGGTTTATGATGGTTTGAATTAGGATGGAGTTAACCATGTTTTATGGATTGTGTTTTAACATACATCCTTAAATAATATTTATGGCATAATTTTTAAACTAAGGTTTGAAAACTATTGTATTTGATAAGTGCACAATTCTACAAAGAGTAGCACTATAACTTTGTCTGTTACAACAACAAGATGCCTTACTTTCTATTTGGAGAGCTTATTTCTTTTTTAATATGTCGTGATGTGGTGCTCATGGCATATGACAAACTATTTTGCTCTATCTTGAGAACTTATTCCTTCAAATTCAAAGCATTGTGGCTCCCATGGGTAGCATCAACCATGGCATTCTGCTCTTTGTTTAGAGCATGTATAGTTCTGAGGGCCCTGATATCTCAAGACCATGGATTTATGAAATGTTGACTGGGTTATGTCTACTGGTTTCAAAAACTCTTTTTTTTTTTAGCTATTAATATTATTTAAGTCCATTCATATTACTTTGGTACAACATTTCATGTCATTTTGTAGGCTTGTTTAGGGGCTACTACCCACGGTTATACAATAATTCATCATCTAATATGTGAATCAATTTAGCTTAAAACATGAGGTTCTCCTATTGAAATGATGATACTATCCTTTGATATGTCTTATTAAAATATTCCAGAATACAACCAAAATTATTTTAATAAGGAGTTATTTTTGGAACCCCATAAGATATAACTAACTATTAGATCACGTTCCTTTGGAAGTACTCATGGGTCTCAAATAAAAGTAAATTTAATTCTTTGGTTATAAGAGGTATTTTTTGTGGATTTGTTTGGGACTACTTGATATAGCTTTTTTGGGACCTTCATTTCTGACAATCACATGAAAATCATCTTACAAGAATTTTTCATACACTATTTATTTGTTCACACCTTTTGTTATTTTCCCTCTCTCACTCTTTCTCGAGCCCCATTTGCATCTATAACTTCTTGCACTTCCATTTCTTCTTTCATACATCAAGTATATGGAATTGGAAAGAATTTTGTATGAAGACGATAGAATGACTTTGAAAAAAAATCGGACATATATGCAAGTAAGCACATGAATGAACAAAAAGAGGGGCAAATAGAGAGATCTACTTCAATAGTGTGGCCTCCGAAAATTTGCTGCCTCGGTCCCTCTTGAAAATGAATTGATGAGAGAGTTTACTTGAGGTTTCAGGTCTAATTTTCAGAAGGCAGATGAAATTGTAGATAATACACTGCCCAGAGATTTCTCCCTTATTTGGTGAGGATTAAGATATGGGTTCCAGGGTTCCCATAGGTGCAAGACTCTATGACTAATTACCCCTCTCGATAACGGGATAACACTTCGATTAAGGATAGCCATTAAGGCACATTAGATAGTAACAACAACTTAGGTTTTGTGTTGCAAAATTTGATTGAATTTTAGATTGTAGAAGTTTACTAGTTTATGTTTTAAAATATATAATTGAGGGAATGATAGACGAACTCAACCAAGATCTCGTAATACTGGTTCTGTCATCCCGAGTTATCATGAACTCAAGTCTACTTAGTCAGAGGATGTAGTCGACCCAACCTGACTGAAAGATCTTTGTTAGTAGACATGGATTGATTCGTCCAGTGGAACCTTTATAGACCTATGGTGAAGTTTATCTCAGAAGACTACTTTGAGTCGACCTAGCTAATGAAGGATTTATTGTTCTATCAATTATACCCAATAATTCACGTCTTAAAGAACTAAGAGTCATTAAAGAACATACGACCAACATCAATGATCATAATTTATTGGTGTCATTTGACGATAACCGCCTGGTCAAAGGGCTCGAGTCTTATTTGTTTTATTTTTTTATTAATATTATTTTGTGGAGCCGACTGGAGGGCAACATTCTTACTAGCGTTTGATTTGGGAGAGAATTTAGTAGTATATATGATGTGACGTTGACTTTATGTAAGCATAGGTCCATCATAAATTTGTCGCACTCAATAAATTGGTGTGGAGGGTAGATGAAGTTTGTTTTTTTAGTATTTAGTGAATTCAAATTTTAAATTTTTATTATTTCATCTTTTTTGTATTTTTGTTAGGATTTTATCAATTTTTATCAGAATTGAACCTTGCCAACTTTGTATCGTTCTTGCAAGGGGATTAAGTTTAGGAATTGGCACATTATTGAATATGAACCTTGTCAATTATGCCTGGAGAGGATCTGGTTGAAAAATTGAGATAATTGAATTTCAAATAGGCTATGAGCTTCGAAGCTTGATTTTAAAAGTGAACCTCTCTAATTGAAATCTTCTATTAACTAGGTCATTATCGGGGATTTTGATCATTTGATTTGAACGTTATTAACCACGCCTTCTTATAGAGGATTGAGTCTAGAAATTATAAGAGTTAACTTTCAAATAGACGTTGGAATTTGATACTTAATTTTGAAAGTTAGCCCTCCAAAATGAAATTTTATATCAAATCGGTCATCATTGAGAATTTTTTTAATTTGATCATTGTCTAGCCTGTCTAGCTTATAGAGAATCGGGTTCATGAATTACATGAATTAAATTTCAAATAAACATTGAACTTTGAAGCTTCATTTTCAAAGTGAACCTCTCCGGTTGAAATCTTCTATCAACTTAGTTATCATCGAGGAATTTGATTCTTATTAACTCTGCTCTGTTTACAGTTGATCGGGCTCATCAATTGTATCGATTGAACTTCAAATAAATTTTGGTCTTTGAAGCTTAGTTTTGAAAGTTAATCCCTTAGGTTGAAATTTTCTATCAACTCTACCATCACCAAGGAATTTGAGTAGATTGATTTGAACATTGTCGGCATTGCCCTGCTCATAGAGGATCGAGTTCATGATTTGTATGAATTAAATTTCAAATAAACTTTAGAATTTGAAGCTTAATTTTGAAAGTTAACCTCTTCAATTGAAATTTTTTATCAACCCGACTATCATCTAGAAATTTAAATATACTAATTTTATTCTTGTCGAATTTGCTCTACATACAAAGGATTGAATGCTAAATTTATAATCATTTAAATTTAAATTGTTTTTGAAGCTTAATTTTGAAAATTGACCCATCTGATTGAAATTTACTATCAACTCGACCATCATCAGAAATTTTATTAATTTGAATATTTTTTAATATGTTCTACTTATATAAAATTGGGTTCATGAATTGTGTGAATTGAATTTCAAATAAAAATTGGATTTTAAAGCTTAATTTTGAAAGTTAACTCCGATTGAAAATTTAACTCGATGATCATCGAGAAATTTGAACATTGTCAACTCAGCTATGCTTACAATAGAATGGGTTCTAAATTTATAATAATTGAATTTTTAAGTAAAATTTGAAGCTTAATTTTGAAAATTGACCCCTACGATCAAATCTTTTATCAACCCAACCATCATCAGTGAATTGATTATTTAAATGTTGTCAACTCTGTAGTGTTTGTATTGGATTGATTTCAGACTTGATAATTCTATGTGAATATAGGGACATTTCTTATATAAACCAATATTTAATCATTAGTCAGTCATGTCAACTTCAATTCCTACATATAGGGATCACACCATGTAGAAAACATCCAGTTTCGTCAACTCCAGCCCTTCTTAGGAGAAGAATTGGACCTGATTACTGGAACTTACAACCTTACCCTATAGATAAGAAAACTTGTTGGCAGGGTGCGTAATCTGAATTTGAATTTTTGGATTTTTAGAATAATTTTGAAATCTTCAAAGTAATTAAATATTTTCTATTCACTTGCATGCTTCTCGGAGTCGGGAGAAATGTATCTATTAGGAATTTAGCACATTTTTTACAATAATATATTTAATATTCAAGTTAATTTATGCCCGCGCAACACTCTCAGATCGTATGATCATGTTTTAAACAACGGGTCAGAGCACAAGCAAGCTTTTCAAATTTTATTGCTTTAGAATTTTTAATTTCGTCGGTCGATTGTTCCGAATAAAAAAAACTATTTTGCTTTCACGAGCGAGTTGCTAGATTCATCACAGGTTGCATTCATGCTCGTGGGTGAGCTATGAATTTTGTCATTGTGGTCAAAATTGGTATATAGCTATCAAGTTTGAAGATGAGAGATAGAATCAAATACATATATAAAAAATATAATTGATAAGAACCAAATACATACATATAGTTATACAACACTTTATCTTTGACTATTCTTTTTTCGATGTGATACTAAAGAACTGAGTGTAAATATGAAAGATTTGATGTGGGATATGTGAAATTTGGATTATATTGTCTTATAATTGAGTCGTGGATGCTTGCATTTGCTCTTTTAATATATTTCATTTGATTCTTATTTTCCTCTTAAAGACTTGTTTGGTCTTTAAAGAAATTTATAGATGTTAAGATGAAAGACATCTACTAACTTGACCAAGTCTTTCACTTAACTCCTAAGGCGTTGATTTAAGTGTCATGCAAATAATTCTTCTTAAATAATGTACAAAGAGACGTTAGGGAAAAATGGCATTTAAATGAGAGAAAAACTATAATACATGTGCAATACAAGTAGGGTATAAAATGTAAACAATTGTTATACATATACATACATTATAAATGATAGGATACATTAAAATCATAATATTTACTTGTTCTTATACAGGCCGACATACTTGTGATGAAATATTACATGTAGACAGGTAGGTGCATATACGAGCGAATTCCAATCACAATACCACCAATTTGCATGTGCGACGTAATATTTGCTCCATAAATGAAGAACTAACAACAACGGGGTATTTTAGGCGCGGAGGCTCAATGACCCAACCAAGTGGAGGGTATTGGCTGGAACCTTGTTTTGGCATAGGCAAGTGCATCATAGTAATCCACAGGAGTAAAGCAATCACGAAAATCAGTGAAAAGTTTCTCAAAAACCCTCCATAAGACTTTGTCAGATCTGGAATAGGGATATGGAAGGAAAAACTGCAAAGAGAAGCTTCAATTCCTTAAAACTACTCGCACCAAATATGTGAAATTAGGGAAATTTACATGTTACCACATAATTATTTATCTATTCATGTATCTAACACCAAAACTTTCACATTTATATTTATAGGTTTTTAGAGTAATAAATTTGAGCATGAAGATATGTATTTCACTGTTTAAGAAAATAAATAATAGTGATATTTTTGACATTATGTTAAAGAATTCAGGGATATGCATGTAAATATTAAAGTTGAAGTGTTAGATATGTAGATTCATAAGAATTGAGTTGTATGTGAATCGATTATATGAAAAGAAAGCAGGAATCTACTATTTCTTGTGTTTTTTTTTTTGGGATAATTACGTACAGTCTACCCAAAATATTGATATTTACATAATTAACCATTCAGGTGATTTTTTTGAACTACCAACCGATGTATTTACACGTGTTACAATCAAACTATTGAGAATTTGATAATAATGAAAAATATGAGTTGGGGTTTTAAGTTGGGGTTTGTTGGGGTTTTACCATGAATTTTGATATTTGAGTCAGAATTTGAAAATGGATGAAAAAAAAGTGGATGCTTTGTAAATAGCAAGTTTCGGGTGGTCTTTGCATAATTGCCCCCACTTTTTTTAAAATATTAGCAGATTCTTCAAAAAGAAAGGAAGTGAATCGCATAAAACCTTACTTTCCTAAGCACAAAAAAGAGCTATTTGAGGATGTAAGATAATGCTTACGTTTCCTTCCAGTGCAAGACGTTTCAGCAGTTCAAATGTATCCTCATTCTCTTCCAAATTGTTGATAACAGTTAACCAAATTTGTGAAGAAAGCTCGTGGGCATCCTCTTCTGATCTTCCACAGGCAATAAACTGATCTGTGTGGTTAAAGAACAAAGCCTGGTAAGTAATAACAACCTGTTTTAATTACAAATATACCACCAGTTAAACAAAATTAATTTAAGCTATTAGTAGTACAGAGTTAAAAACCCATAATGATGCATTACTTTAAAATATTATCTTAGAAAAATACTGCAAATTCTCAAGATTATTGCATTTTAAGCCACTCATAACAGAAAAATTATGAAAATGGGCATCTTTAGGGGAAAAAAAAAAACAATTCCATAAATAATCAACTTATAAAAATCATAAATGAACTAGAAATAAGTTTAGCTTGCCAACATCAACATGGTGAAATAGTGAACCGGTAAGTGTGGGGTTTTGTAAGCTTACCAATAAGGGTTCCATGAAGTATGCTGGAAGGAGGAGCCATGGTTGAGAGCTCAAGTTGCTCTTTGAGAAACAAATAAGCGTGGCCTACAAGCTCATCAATTTCACCATTTAATGTGATAAGATGCTCGCTAGCATATAACGCCATGTATCTTCTGGAGGGAGTACAAATAATGTTGGAAAAAGATTACTTAGAAACAAATATTCTAATTAAATGCACAAACAAGGTGCTTGATTTCAAAATTTTAAACTAATGATGATGGAAATGTAATATACACTCATTATAAGCATATAAAATAAGCCTAAAGAGAGAAACATGATTAGTTTGCATTGTATCTACTTTGCATGATAAGTTTGTATTGCATTTTCTTTTTTCATGATACAACAACAACAAGCCTTTAGCCCACTAAGTGGGCTCGGCTACATGAATCCCTTTTCTCCATTGAGTTCAATTGAGTGTCATATTTTCACTTAATTCTAAGATTAAGATCATTTTTTATACAATATGCCCAGGTTCTAACGTTGTCATTGTCAGGTCCCAAGCCCCGAATATAAAAAGTAAAGGTTGCATTAGGTAGTCGACAGCCAACATAAAATTTTTTTTGAAAATTCATGGCACGTATCCTTCTTTTTCCATGATAGTTTGTTAAAATATGCCTACGATGATGATCCTACAGACACAAGGATCTCCTCCAGTGAATTCCACTTTAGCTTTGGTTAACTGCTTCAATGATTCCATTTCAATAAACATTAAGCTGCAACGTTCACATGTTTTGATGATTTCCTTGCGTCTCTATTTGAAGCTTTCCATACACCACAACTTGTAATTTTCCTTTGTCAGCTTATCTGCTTGTAGTTTTCTGTATGTTTCTATCTTACCAAGGCTTTCTTGCGCAAGCGATTATCATCTACTTTTGAATTTTGTTATATTGCTATATAAGATTGAAAAAAAAAATAAAACAAGAGCTAATTTCTACTGTTTTAAGCTAGCAAAATTAGAACTTGTTATTTTTTAGAGGAGCTTACAGGATTCAAAGAAATTTCTAATTTTGGATCATTTATGCAAAATATATAAGACCGTTAACTCATTTATAAGATATTTGACATTGTATCTTGAAATAAAAATTCAATTTTTTACTCAATTCTTGCATTTGATGGATGTGAATTTCGAGTATTGATGACTATTTGATGTATAATTTTAATATTGATGATTATTTCATGGTTATCAGTCAATTTGTACTGGCATGAGGACTTGATCACTCACTTGGTGATTTCCATTCATGTTATTTCCATGAAGTTGCTTTAGTGACTGATGTTACACAATTAAAATGTTATAAATTTTAATACAAGTAGAATTTATTTATGTTGTGTAAATATTGAGCGTTTCAAAATTTTATATTTGCTCCCAATTTTTTTTGTAAAATTACAATAGTCAACTATTAAATTATTGTTTGGAATACATGTGTTTATTAATTTTTCATCAAATATGACTTTGCTTTTTATTAATTGTTGGTAATATATGAATTTGCTTTTTGACGTTGTCATCATAGATTTACATAGTGCACCTTAAAACCGAAGACATCTCACAACACAAATGCCCCAAAGATAAATGATAGATGACTCTGGAAAAAGTTATAAATAATGTAATTGAAATAGCTCTTTCAAAAACAGAGATGAAGACGTTACAATCACTTTGATTTACTCGAATATATTCTTCAGTTGTATTTGACAGTTTCTAAAACTCCTGCAACTACTAAAACTCTTACAGCAAATTTGCATGAGATTAACATGGTTACCAATCCTTATCAAGATGAAAAAGTTTGATGACTACAGTTAGTTTTAGTGGTAAGCATAAAAATAATGCTAAAATCATGAAATCAATCACAATTTAAACTGTTGCCACCTCCTTGAAAGAATTTGCATAAGGATCCAAAAAACTGATTCTAGAAACAATGGATAACCTGATAAAACGCTATAACATCTGCCTTTTTGAAAAATTTCCGTGTTATTCAATGCTCTTTTGGGATGGAATAAAATGAAAGGTGCAATTCAGTTAAATCGATGTGCAATTTATATAATTCGTGGATTATAGACTTTCTTCAAAATGATTTCAAACCAGTAATCACTTCAAATCTCATTGCACTTCAATTACAAACAACCCAATGTTAGCTTTTAACTATTTGTTGGAAAGTGACTGTCACTGTGAGGACAGTGAAGAGAAGAGAAGTTAATATCTGTGAAGCCAAGATTTAACAAGTAAAAGATCAAAACTATTGGAATCAAAATCTTCGAAAAAAAATTAATGAAACAGCAATTTCATCACCAAAGTAACAGTGCTTATAAGATCATAGTTTGGGTAAGATCCACATGAGAATGCCGAATTGATGCAACACAAATACAAAATCAGAGCACGGACAACATTGCATCAAAATTTTTCATCGTTCACATCAACACACTAAATATCAAAGTAGAAAAATAAGAAAAAACCTAGATTGCCTTCTGGAATTCAACGCGTGCTTCAAGTATCACTCCTCCTTGCTTACAAGACTTGGTAATGCCCTAACACTAAGAAATAAAAGTAGGTGGAAAAACAAGTCAAGATTCACTCTAACGCCCCATTACAGACCACTCCAACATCCAGCATGAATATTGCATGCTTTTCAAGCCACTCTTATGGCACCGCAGAAACCCTAATTGTTGTTCTTGGTGTATTTCTATTTTTTTCCTAATAAAAGCACTTCATGTACTTGTAGAATATACTGTTCAATCAATAGTTGAGCTTTAATTGTGAACACATCCCTTGGTGAAGCTTGGTGGCCGATCCAAATTTTTTCTATGTTGGTCAGTATAAGGTTTTATCTTTTATTAGTTTTTAGTCTCCTTGTCCTCTAGAACTTGAATTTGGCACCCTCCAACAACACTAGCCTCCATCTACAATCATAACACGCATAAATTCTCAGCCTTCTTCCCCACACAAACTTTAAACTTTTCTTATTGAGTTTGGCCCCCCTACATAAACCCAAGCCCACAGCAAGACCTCTGCCCATCAACCCTCTGCCCTTCAAGACACCCCAAACCCAACCACACTAGTTGTTCACATAATTTATATGTGCTAGTAAGAAAACAAGAGAGGGAGAATAAAATTTTGTTTAAAGCCTAGCAGGAATTGTTTTTATGAGAATAATGATATAAAAATGCTAATCATAAAAAATTTGGATTTCTTTTGACAAAATAACAAATAGGATATGTGGGGGGATATATGATACAAGCATAAGCAGTATACAATATTATAATGAATTTCAATTTTAGCATATATAAAGATAAAATTATATACTATTGTATTTGAAAGCTGTATAAGATGTAATATGGATAATTGATTAAAAAAAAATATAATTTAAATATATAACATAGATCATATATTTAATTTCTGCAAATTTCAATCAATGGATAACAGAGTCATATGGCTTAAATTATTTTTATTTATAGCACAATGTAGACTCCTTTTAATAATTATTATATACTAAATTGTACAAAAGCCCTAATTATATGCATTGAATGGAAAAAAAAACCTTCAATTAAATTAGAAATAAAGAAGGCTCATCTTTTTTCTTGAATAGTTGCAAAATGGTAGGTAAAGATGATAAAGAAATTTAAATATTTGTATAATTAAAGATACATTTTGTTAATAAATAACCTGTCCCAGAAGTTTAAAAGAAATAAAAGGGGGAATAGAGAGACAGGGGCTCCGTAAAATAAAAAAAGGGGGCTTCTTTTATTTTTTTGAATGGGTGCATTTGCATTACAAAATAAAGAAAAAAAAAAGTGCATGTATGCCTCATTCATGCACAAAAGCGTGACATCATCTATAATATGGTCATCTATATGCTTTAAAACAAAAGACTTAACAAAAAAATGGGCCGCCTCTGTTATATTCTCTAGGTATATGAAAAAAGAGCACTTGCTTGAAGTTCATAAGGAAAGAAGATTAGGAGCATCTAGCAGTTGTAGTTTCCACACGGGTGGCATCTAACAAGGCCTCTATATCTCAAGATTTTCCACTGTAAGCACTCTAGTCCCAACCATGAAGAGTCGATAATTCCACTGTAAGCACTCTAGTCCCAACCATGAAGAGAATAATCGATAATTCAAAGACAAATCAATATGTACCAACCCAACAAACATGGTTGATGATACAAATCTCATCAGACTATAATTTATGCCTGGGAGGTATCATCAGACTATAATTTAAAAGACGTGCGTGCAAGCAGATGTCTGACAAACTGATGTTGTTGTTGTTGTTGTTGTTATATTTTTTAACACCTGAAGATCGCTTTGAGATATCCGTAATAGCATGAATTCATTATCGCGGGCAATCTTAACAACAAACATAAAATTTATAAACAAAGAAAATTTTGAATCCTCAACTATTTTGACATTTAAAAAAAAATTTCAATCTCTAACCTTGAGGATTTTTTTTTTAATGACAACAATCACAATGCGATGATGACGCCAAAACCTCCTCGAGAGTATCCTAAAAGTTATAGTACGGCATCATCCTGTTGGCCTTGGTCGAATATTAGCCGTGCTTGACCCTTAGCATTCTTCACCTTAATCTGGATTGAAGATCAACAGAGGGAGGGATACTTTGGCCATATCAAAGATACGATGTTCGCAAAGGATTTTTTTTTTTTTATTGTTCTCGATCAGATCAAAGATACTACGGCATGAGTCTCCAAATTGTTGAAACTAGCTTGCAATTTTCCTCTCTTTTCCTCCATAATTTACTACTCTCTGTCTCTTTGTTATGATCGTCTCCCCCTCTCCGTGCTATGCGTATTCTCATTTTCATGTTCTCATTTTCATCCTTTTTTTTACTTTCCAATTTTTAAAAAATAGTCTTGATTCTCATTTTCATCCTTTTTTTTTACTTTCCAATTTTTAAAAAATAGTCTTGATCAATTGAAGGCATGATATCATGAAAGTAATTGCAGCTAAAGACAAAAAAAGAATATTGAAGGTAAACTTTTAGCAATTGGCAGGGAGTAAAACCAGTAGATATAAAAGAAAAAATTAGCATTAGCCTTTTTTTCTTAACTTTTTTTACTTCATTAAATCTATTTCTAAAACTGAAAATAGCATTTGGCAACATTTATATTAAGCATGCTTTAAAAGTGGTGATGGGTGGAGATTACTTTTTTTTTTCTTTTTTCAAATATTTCCTTTAGTTTATTTAAATAATATCTCTCATCTATTTTTGTTAGAAGCTATTAAAAAATATATTTTCTAAATTACCAAAATATGCATAGTTATATTATTATTTATTTAATAATATTAATTATTACTATCATTAATGTCAATAAGTCATATACATACATACATAAATACATACATAGTGTGTGTGTATGTGTAGAATTATACATAAAGTTAACTCCAAATAATTTAAGCCGATTACATTCACTCGAGTTGATTTGAATAATTTTTCAAATAATTTTAATTACTTTAAACATCATTATTATTATTATTATTCATGAATCACACTATATGCCATAAATTTAAATAACATATTTTTTTATTTCTACATATTTATCTATTATTATTATTAGTTGGGATAGAGTATTCATAGCACTAATCACAGCCTCTTGATGTAATTTTGGTACCTTCCTATCATTTATGTGATGGTCGTTGACCTATTTCCCTCTATTCCCCTTTTTCTCATTTAAATTTATGAGAAGATAATTATTAACAAATCATGTCTATTTATTTATACAAATATTTTAGTATCTTAATTATCTTCACATATTATTTTGCAACTATTCAAGAAAACGTGTCTTCTTTAGTTCTGATTTAACTTCAGGCAAGTTTTTTTTTTCATTCGCTGCATATAAATAGCACTATGCTTTTTATACAATTTGGTATACAAAACTTATTAAAAAGAGTTTGCATTGAGTTAGAAATGGGACATTTAAGCTGGATGACTTTTATCAAAAGATTAAAATTTACAAAAATTATATATGTAATCTCTGTTATATATTTAAATTATAATTTTTTTAATCAATTATCCATATTATATATTACAAATCTTTTAACTGTTATTTTATATACTTTAATATTTTTATAAACTAGAATTGCTATGTTTTAAAGAACGGATGCCACTTGCACTTTGTATCATATATCCCCTCTCGTATATCATATTTGTTGTTTTGTCAAATTTGATGTACATAAAGGAATCCAAATCTTTAATGATTAGCATTTTTTTATCATGATTCTCATTAAAGCAATTCATGTTGAGCTTTAAATAGAAATTTTTTATTCCTCCCTTTTTTTATCAGCACATATAAATTATGTGAATGCTTGTCACACCTCTTAAAAATAACCCTAATCAAGCTTACATTACGGCACAACAACCACAAATTATTTCCTCTTCCATCCTAACTCTAGGCTAACTAACCCTAATTTAATCAAATCAATTCCAAGTCCACCCAAGAATCCTAACCCTAATTCAATTAAATCAATTCCAAGTCCACCCCACTCTTGGTGTAGTGGCGTTAACCCTTGAACCCTATTATGGGGATATATGATCCTAACATTGTACCAACCAATTAAAAACAATCCTCAAATCCACCTTACATCACACCAAGCAAGTACGCCTACTTGAAATTAAAATACGTTTTGAATCAAGTGCCACATCCACTTTCATTTCAAGGCTTGGTTATCCCTATGCCTTTTAAGCAAGTAAAAGAGGTGGAAAAATAATTCAAGCTTCTCTCTAATGCCCCTTGACAAACCACTCCAAGATTGGACATGAATATGGCATGTATTTGGAACCATTTTCATTTCTTGTGCGGCATGGTCTGAATTTGATTGCTTTTCTTGAATATTTTCATTTCATTGCTTATAAAAGCACCTCATGTACTCTTGTAACATATTGTTGAATGAACGATAGGCTTTGCTTTCATCCTGTGATAATGCAAGGTATAGATTCAAATCCTTAATATGTTGATGAGTACAGGATTTTTATCCCCATCTCCTCTAGCTCTCGATTTTGAAAGTCAACAACATCCCAAGCTAGCATCCCAACAAACACAATCCACAACCCACTTAAGCTCTCTACAACCTTTCCCACAAAAAACCCTAGACTATCCATCTGGAGCTTGATCCCTCTCACACAAGCCGAGACCCACACCAAGGCCTTCACCCATCTACCCTCTTCCCTCCAAGGCCCTTAAACCCTACTGCATCTCTCAAACACCTAGCCAAACCCTAAAACAACCTTACTTGAGCCTACATCTAGCCATATGCACAACAAGTAATTCTCTTTCATCCCACCTCTTAGCCAGCCTCAAAATCCTAACCCTAATACACTCCAAAAGCTTCCACATATCTACCAAATAAATAAAAAAACAACCATCTAAATAAATACAAAAAAATAAAAAAAATTAAAGAAAAAAAAAATCAACAAATTCACCTAACGTTACTACCAAGTGAGTGCCTTCACAATCAAGATCCTCCCACCGCTAAGTCCCATAAAAAATAGTAAAAAATCAAATATGAATCAAGAGATGAGTTCATAATATACAAATAGGGGCCTTCATCCTTAAAATAAGTTTTCAAGTTGACGGTGCCCATCTATTGGTGTATTGGGCTTAATTTGAGCCCCAATATCGCAACATCTTTAGAAAAAGATATCAAAATCAGTATATTTTATTGAAATCAAGTGGATCATGCAGTTTATACCACTAAGGATGTTGGGGGTTTCTGTCATATTTAAAAGGATATCAGGAGAAAGAACCTCAGGTGTAAGCCCTACTTTTTGAGTTGGCATTTAGTGAATAAAACATTATAGTTTTGAAATGTTTATAGTTCAGTATGAGTGATGGTCAATATTGGATAATTAAATGATGGGAGGATGGTTAAGATACACATAAGAGTGGAGAATGTTCTTTGGATACAAAATAAAAGTAGAGTTTCATATAAAACAATCAACTATAATACCATTCTGGAGATATAATGGAGAAAGAAAAGTAAGTTTTAAGAGGTGGATAAAAATTCTAAAACTCACTTGGTGCTATAAGAATAGAAGCATTGTTTCATCATTTAAAATATTATCATTCAACCACAGATTATTTTTTTTAAGACGAGTAGATTCTCTTCCAATCGATGAATTACTAGATAGACAATTAGAAAGAGTGAAGGTATCATGGTCGCATACATACTAATTGATAAAAGCAAATTAACTTTTTATCAGCTATATTGCGAATAAGGCATGTAGTCACAATTAATTTACATGCTAATAAATTGGCAGATGATGAATCATGTAACACAATAAATAAAATATTTCTTCAGAAGAATATAGATTTCTCACCTCTTAGCTAAACCTCCAGGAATAGGCCCAGGCCAACGTTTTCTAAGGATAACTGAAGGCCAGGATCGTGCAATCGCAAACTGCCAGAGACCCTCCGCTCGGAATATGGAAGCCCACTGCTTACAGACACATGATATTTGAACCCACTCAAAAATAGGCACCCGAACAAAAATTTCAATGAGGAGATGATCAGGAAACTTGCAAAAAATATCACTGCTGCGATCCATTATTCGGTTTAGACTGAAAAAAAGAAATTGGCAACTCTTAGTTGATGACAATTTAGCAGTCATGACTGTGCAAGTACAATGAATATTATTTTAGTAACTTGAAGTAATTAATACCTAAGAGCATATTAGCAGAATATCAATTAGTTAAAAATTAGCAAAATTTGACTTAGGAAGATTAATCAGTTGGAATAAAGTGAGAGGACATGGATGCATGTAAAACAACTCTGTAAAAAAAAGAAAAAAAGAAAAAAAAAGAAGAAGAAGCAGTTCAAGTACCAGGTTATATTTAAAATACAAATACACTAATGATTTCTTATTCTACTACTGATTCTGCTGATTCATAAAATGAGCCACTCCATTATATAAGAAAACCTTCAAATCCTTCATCATATCTTGGCACATTGTTCAAAACTCCCATTTTTCTTTTGATCTTGCAACAATATGTTTTCCATTACAAAACATTATAACTTTCTGTTTCGCTTTAAATGACTTTTCACACTCATGCAGATTATCTATAATTAGAACTACTTCAATCAACAGCTAAGATTTGTAAATATATCATGCTTATTGAAATGTAGAAGCTTTGCAATCAACATGATGTGGAAGGTTGCGATGATGACACAAAAGAATCACAAAGGACATCAAAACTTCATAATAAAAGAAGAAAATGTGTCTATCTCAGAATAATACCAATGATTATAAGTAAACCAAAGAGCCCCTGATCAAGCCTACCATTCATTAACTGAAGAGATTTTTTTTTAATTAAAATGAATGTTCTCAAACAAATCCTAGTTGATCATAATTATCCTGTAAAACTATATGAAGCGCGCTTGTCAATTGTGAGGAGTTGAACTCAGCACTAAGACTAATAGCTCTGTTTGCTTATTATCTACGACAAAAATCAGTCTAGGTAACTTGGAGTGTACTTTAAATAAATTTTAGAAATCTCAACACCCTATCCTTCGCTCCTACTCTTAATGCTGATTTTCAAACCCTTCCCATAACAAAGGGAGCTGAAGACCCATCCAGCAAAGCTAGAGCCAGGAAACGGTTTACAATCCTTTAAATTTTGTACAGCGGTCACTGTGGTACTGATAACAACCTTGTGCAATACAATAACTAAACATTGCCTTAAAAACCACATTTTTTATCAATGTCTTATCAGTATGATAAGCTTGCTCTTATTAGAACTCTACTTTTAATTGAAACCCCATAACAATACCCTCACAAACAACCTCGCACCAGTTTAATAATTTATGATAATGTTACATTAGCGAAGAGATACGGAAAATTACTTCGAGAGATCCATAACAAAATTTGGAACAGAAGCACACAAGATAAGAAACCACAAAAATACAAAGAGCGCTAGGATTTAATGTGGCAAAACCCTAAAACGGGAAGAAACCACGGTGTCACATCACATAAGGAAGTACACTTTGAAAAATGAGGAGAATTATACAAATTACACCGCATTTAATACTCTCCACACCTTGGAATACTTCAGGAATTCTCTCCTGTCTTTCGCACAAGATAAATCTCGAAATACAATTTCAACGCCTCACAAATCCCGCAGAGAAGATGTAATTTTAAGCCTCAACTGCCTGAATGAGGTTACTAGTGCCGGGGCACCACAATTCTCCTGGCATTGGGGCGCTAACCTCCAGGTGCTAGGGTGTCAAACGCTCAGTTTTTGGACCTATACATGTACCCAAGTTAGACGCTACGCTGCCTCCTCCTAGCATTGGAGCATCGAGTGCTAGAGTTCCAAGAGTCGAGTTGCTTCATTTAGGTGTTGCGGGCCCGGTATAGCAAAATTTTCTTTCAGGTGCGTTGCGGCACCCCCCATACCCCCCTAACGGACTCGCTGTCAAGCATGAAAAGTGAAACTAAGGGGTTTGAGTGAAAAATTAATCAACACAATCATGCTTCACATAACAACACCTTACACCTAGCCAACAATGGATAATCATGATAGAGAACTCACTATTTTTCTCCTTTAAACAATTTCAAAAGAATAAGGTAAACTAATTCCTTAAAAAAGAAAAAAAAACTTTGAAAATTATTCAAAATCAAGCTTTGATAACTGCTCTCAAACATGGGAATTATTCTTCATAACATAGGCTATCTAAGAAAAAACAACAAAAAACATAATACTATTAAGCTTTAAAATCTAATAAAATAATAACCAAGAAAACAAATTATCTTTAACCTGAAGAAAACTGTTGCGGGAAAAATATATGAACATGGATTGAGAAAGTCATGATCAAGAAAGAGAGAAATGCAAGGAATATAATTCATAGCGAAATCACATAAAAATAATTCCTAAATGAACCTCCATGATTTTTTTTTTTACTTCATTACTTTATCTGCACCTTAAGTTCAATAAGGTTATGAACTTTTTGAATAGCTCGTCTCCCAAAAGCAATATTTGAGTAACATTAGTGTTAAATCTTCATTGTTTGTTACTGAAAGTGGTACTTCCTCAACTTTTAGGTAATCAATGAAAAAACCCATTGAACTCATCAGGGGCACTTCTTCAACCCTCATAATTTCTACTTCTTCGATGCTAGGACAGAACAAATCTAGTTTGACTCGCCTGTATAGTTTTCTTAGTTTTTGGGAGCAAATCCCCCAGCTAGTTTTGTTTCTTCAAATCAACTCAATCTTCACCTTGAAAAGATACCTTCAAAACACTTCACGAAAAGATACCATTATAAGAGATTCACTCAAACTTCATACTATTCAATGATTTAATTCACTATCAATTGTGAGTCTGAAAATACTGTCAAGTATTTCACCTCAATTCCAACCATGAATTTCAATCCCATGATTAAAGCACGACTTGATTGTTATTATCTTATAAAAAAATTCTAATTGAATATGTTTGCACGATCTCCACAGTTCTCTTTAAGACCATTTCATAACCAACTTTAGAATATTCAAAGATTCCATCACCATTCTCCACTTGTCACCCTTCTCTCGGCTTCAATATTAGTGAAGTCCACTAGATAGTTGACAAGGATATGGGCTTTGATGGCTATGCTCGTCTATATATGATTAAAAATTCGTTCAACTCCATATCACATTTTAATAACCTTTCAAAATGGTCAACTTTGTTGAGTATGGTTTTAAGCATGTCGTCTATCAAGACTTATATTGAAAGTGTTGGAATATGGCTTGAGTCATAGAACTATAATTGCCAATGCTCATGTAAGTTTCTCCATGAATAAATATCACAACTCAGCACACCGAGTTTAGATTGATAATATCTATGCACATTCTCTATTTTTCATTCACTTTTTGCATCATCACCTCATTAGAAATCTATTCGAAGTTTGTATTACCTTTATAAATTTGACCTAAAATAGCTTCTAGACCTCCTAGCTAATGAGTTTTACAAGGGTGGTTACTATCTCTCAACCTATTTTTTGATAGATCTACCCTCCTTTCTCATAGTAGCCTATGGTAGGCAACATTAACATATATTCTAGCATTTAGATGACTATTAGCACAAACACTTTAACGTCATCTCAAAGCATTTGAACTAGTTGGTCTCAATGTTGCAAGCCAAAAAAGAAGCTAATTCAGAGAGTGTGCCTCAGTACTCCCTCAATGCCTTGAATTTCTTCTATGCTTCAGACATTCGTAACCTCACATCGTCGTTGACTTTCAGTTGCAGCACTACATGTACACTTCCTGCAACTTAAAATAATAAGCCTTAGTTGCACCAACTCTCCCATCAATTTATTTCCCATCCCTCAACTAGGAACTTGATTTCAATATAGTAAGTAGAGATCATTGCTCTAAAATTGCTCAAAAGTAGTAGCCCAAAAAATGTCATTGCAAGTGGTGGATGCATTTGTTATGATTAAGACAACCATAATACTAATGTTCGCATTCTCTTCATATGATGAGCAAAGTGATCATGTCTTCCACTTCATTTCTTTCTCCAAAAAAATCTAAAGAGTGGACTTGTATTTGAAATTAAATAGGCAGCTCCCAATCAAAAACCCCTTTCAAAATGATGTCAATAAAACTCTTGATATCAATCATGATTCTCCATTTAAAAAACTTGGCTAAGAAAGTTGTGACTGCTAATCATTTGTCAATCTATCAGCTTAAGCGAAGGTTATGGGTACAAAATTAATCTAAGGTGCTTTGAAAATAGTCGTTAAGTTCACCTCTGTTGACCAAACTTGTTTAAAGGTAGGATACCAAGATGATTCTATTATGGCTCCTCCATGACTAGTTGGCACCATGCCAATGATAAGAATTTCTTTGGATGGACTGGTGTGCTACTCTACTCGTCTAAGTGCCCTCATTCTTATCTTTCAAGGTTAGCCATAATGAATTCCCTTTTAACTTTTTGGCCTTGATATGTTCTTCCATGAAATTCCTTAAATGTTAACAAGCATCCATATCATATCCATAAAATCTCTATAGAACGTGCAAAACTTAATCATGTATCATAAGTGTGCTCTTGCTCTCATGGGTGTCAGCCGCTTAAGAAAATCTTCATTTTGTATGGCTCCATAAATATAACCATCAATAATTATAGCAAGATAATCATCAGTTAGCAGAACGGCTATTGATTCCAAATGCCCTTTTAGGTTGGCTAGTTATCAGGTGGTAGTAGGAGTGATTCAATTAACTAAAAGTGTGACCCTCTCTCTCCTCTACTTGGGATTTAGAGCAGTTTTACGACGGCTTGGACCTCACTAAAAGTCACACCTTGCTAGAACTTCTCTTAAGCGATTTGAAGTAAAGGATCGACTACATTGATGTACTGTTCAATGTTCATATGACTATTAGAGAGTTCTAATAATTCTACCAACATGTTTGGTTACGACAAGTCAAGGGTGTTTCTAAATGAACCTTCTTACAAGTGTCGAGAGAGGGAAAAGTGGGTGATTGCAAGTTCCAAGTCATTTATTTTCAGCATCACTTTTTGAAACATACAATAAAATTCCTGAGAGACTTGCCAATTATTGCCTTATCATCAGACGATCTTATTAGCTCTTTAAAGGCCTTTGGGCACTGATAAATTTGAAAACAAACATTTGAGTCTAGCAAAGAAAATGATGGCTTTCAATGGCAAGCAGGAGAACCATATAAGATATAATCCTCTGACAACAGTAAGAAGCAGGAGGTATTTTAAAGTATCATCGATGTCAAGTAACAAAGTGGCCACCAATAAGTAAGCCACATAGTTGCTCAGGTCAGTTCTTCCTATTTGTTATTAAAGGTGAATCATCTTAAACTTTATCAAAGATTAAACTTATGCGATCTCCCTACAAAAAAAAACTCATCAGTTGGGACTTTCCCTTTCGCCTCGTTTACACAAGGGAGGGTACTCCTCATTACTATTGGGATAGTAAGTCTTATTTAAATGTAAAGAGATTAACACACAAAAGCTGCCTTCATATGATTGAATATGAGAATTCATCCTATGACTATTGCAACCACTTGATTTTGATTTTATCTCTCTCCTTAAATCTTGGTTCAAATCTAATCTTATATTTATAGGATGATTTCCAAGCATTACAAAGGATGTTATATTTTTATCTAGTAAAACAAATAAATAGATGGTATAACATATGACTATTGCAGATATGCAGAAGCAATGATCAAAATCCCAATAAGTGCCCTACTACTGCTACCTGAGGCTTGTAGTTCCGATTTCTCATCAATTGAATAGATTAGTTGTTGTCTGCTTCAAATGAATGCCTTCAAACTTGATCTGATCTAGCAAAATCAAAAGTTGTGGGGGTTTGGCAAACAAGGAAATGAATGGATAGCAACTCTTCTCCCAACTTTGATAAGGTATAAATCACCCCAACAAAAGAAAGCGAGTTCTAAAAAGGTTTTCATGGCGGATTCTTAACATGATTGTGCTCGCTGAGTAGGCATAAGAAAGGCTTTAGAGTATAGAAAGTATACCTCAGTTGCAGATATGACAAACTGGCCGAATCGATCGAGATCCACTCAAGCTAGGGAAAGTCTAAATCTTCTGGAAAAATAGACAGCCGAATCGCCAGGAGAAGCGAAACTGAGCAGGCGATTTCTGCGGGTTTATAATAATTAAAAAATTAGAATAAAAATATTTATATTCTATTTAAATTAATATTTTAAAATAAATAATAAGATAAATAATGTCTCTACTCCTAGTATTCTACAGTAGCGTGATTGGCATGTCAATAGAGGTGTCAAAATGGCTAGTTGATAAATAGACTGTGTTCGATTCGTTCATTAAGCAAATAAAACTGAAAAAATTATAATCAATTTAAATTATTAATTGACGTTGCTATGGAATAACTCGTGTTCGGCTCGATAAATAGACTGTGTTTGATTCGTTCATTAAGCAAATAAAGCTGAAAAAATTATAATCAATTTAAATTATTAATTGACTACAAGACTATAAAGATTTATAATCAATTTAAATTATTATTTAAAAATAGAATAAAATTGATCTAATTTTTTTAAATAAATATTTTAATATAAATAATGAGATTTAAGTCTCGCTCCTACCATTAACATCCTACGGCTACATGACTAGGGTTTGTCAAAACGGCTAGTTTTTTTTGCAAACAACTCGTTTGGCTTGTTAAGCAAACGAGTCAAACACGAATAATTTTTTTTGCGCTTGAATGAACAATGGTATTTTTTAACAAGAACACGAGTGTTAGTTTTTTTTGCGAACAACTCGTTTGGCTTGTTAAGCAAATGAGTCAAACACGAATAATTTTTTTTGCGCTCAAATGAACAATGGTATTTTTTAACAAGAACACGAGTGGAGTCTGGGCTCGCTCAAGCTCAACTTGTTTACACCCCTAGATGTCAAAACGTGCTGTTTGCAAACAACTCGATTTCGGCTCACTAAACAAATGAGCCGAAGATGAACAAATTTTGTATGCTCAATATATTAACAAGCTGAACATGAACAACTGTATTTGCTAACAAACTGAACATGAGCAAAGTTTGAGCTCACTCAAGC